CTATTCATATTGTGTGTGTGTTGTGTTAGTTTAAATCTCCCCAAACGGTTTTATTTTTCCTTTGTCAAAAGCTATTTAAAAAATAGTATTTGTAATATATACAAAAAGGCTTGTTGTCAACCAGGTGACCAAACACACAAAGATGAGTCCACACACTGAAAGTTACTTTTTAAAGGTCCCATGTCATGGCCATTTCTACTGATCATATTTCCATTGTTGAGGTATACTAAAATAGATTTATATCGTGCAATGTTCCAAAATCACATTGGTTTCTCATACAGCATAGTATGTGTATTCACTCTCTGTCCTAAACGGCTTGTTGGAGCTCCTGCCCCCCCCTCCCTATGAGCCCAGTGGCCGTCTGCGAGATAGCGAGACACAGCGAAACCCAGCCCGAAACCAGCCCGAACACACACCCGCAGCCTGGCTGGGAGTTTGTGTGTGTGCTCACACACCGACTCACAGCCTCGCCGCATCCCGCCGTCTCAGGGAGGAGAAATCGGCAGACCTGCAGCTGAGAAAAGATTGAGTGTGTGTGAACCTAACGGCTCCGCGGACGTAATGTAACGGCTCCACAGATTGGTCCATTTGGAGGCGTTCTGGGGCAGCATAGACAGGTCTTTTCTGTGTTAGAGTTTTGCTCGCTACAGGGTGTACTTTGAGGGTTTGTGACTTTGCAGACCGTTTACATGCATAAAAACCTTCATAACACACAAGGGGACGGGTAATAACCGGAAAAACATGACATGGGACCTTTAAGTGACAATCTCAAACATTTCTGTTTTGTGTTCTTTGGCGGCCTCTCTGACAATAGGTGGTAACTGTAATTTTGGATCTCACTTCCAGAGGTCCCATCAGTGCCCTGCTTGTGATTTTTCCTGAAGATTCTGCCACAATCACCCAGTTTGTTAAACTGCAAATGCAAAGGCTTTCATTGGGCCATAGGCTCCATTACCATTTGCTTAATAATACTTCCACATTTATAAAACTGCAGAGCTCTTCCACTCCTAACTCAGACCTACTGTACATATTCTTTCAAAGTAATTGATCAGATTCTTTTTTTTGTGTATTTGGTGTAAGTTTTTGTTTTAGTTTGTATAATATTTGTGCATTTGCTCTACTTGTACTTATGTACTCTTGATGTGCGTATGTGCATCATTATTCACCAGCAAATTCTTGTATGTGAGAATCTACTTGGCAATTATTCAAATTCCTATCCTTATTCATTTGGCGAAAGATAGTAAAAAACAGGTATTTATTTGAATACAAATCTTCAAAATTATAACTTGAAGCTTAAAATAATAATACTATGTGTTATAAAAGGCTTTCAACGCAAAAACAATAACAGGGTCTGCAGTTTAAGGATTGGTAAAAGCAATGGAACCAGCAGTGACATTTATACATGTAGAAAGAGTGAGAATAATAAATGAGTGTTTCTATCTGTATCACAGGTCCACCCGGTCCTAGAGGCCCAGTAGGACCTCCCGGCCCATCAGGACAGAATGTAAGCTCACTCACAGCAGAGTCCTGCACTTACTGAGTTTAGCTCCGTCAGATTCATCATTGTGTTTTTAATTTACTTCCTGACTCTATACAGGGTAAAAATGGAGCCTCTGGAGCGCTGGGCCCTGTGGGGCCAAAGGGCGAGCGAGGGGAGAGAGTGAGTACACCCACAGCTCCATGATACTCTCCAGTTGTCTCCATTTACTCTACATCCTTAAACAACATGCCTTTGGTTTCTCAGGGTCCTTTAGGTTACCAAGGCGAGAGGGGCTTCAGAGGCGAGTCGGTAAGCCACCTCCACCCTGCTGCTGCCATGATTATGGCCCGAGTAAACGAGCATATGGGGGGGGGGGAACATCAACACATGTCATAGCTGGTTATATTACTGTAAACTACACTAACCAGCAGCGTTACAAACCACACCGACCAGCAACGTGCTCCATCTGTCATTGAAACTGATGCAACGTTTTCATCACTCAATCTTTTCTGTTGTAACATCTCTCTGCAGGGAACACCGGGTTCAAAGGGAGAGCCAGGAGTGAAGGGCTTGCCGGTAAGAAAGTAGTTGTGGGTATTTCACATGTTGATCTGAACAGGAGGGCTTGACTTTAATTACATGTATTATGTCAACAGATTTCCCATAACTGTATTAGTTTAATTGAAAGCAATAATAATAGGTTCAGCTTAATATTATTGCTTTCAACTAACCTAATTCAGTAATGTGAAATCTACTAACATAATACATTTAATCAAGTTTTTTTAGTGCATGTTGACGGGGCCTGAACGGAATGGCTTGACTTTAGATTTTATATAATACATAACAATACGTTTTAAGATTCCTTTGTTGAAGATTAAATATTTCTCTGTGTCTGTCTAACCCTTATTTTCCTTTTAAATCCTTCTCATTTTACAAGAGCTATCTAAATGTAAGATATCTTTTTAATTATGTCATCACATGTTCCCTTTGCAATGAATCTATTCTGTAATCTAAATCAGGTCCAACATCTCTTATGGTTATTGTTATGATCTTTTTACAATCCCCATGTTCATGGCTGTGATTGGCCACGTGGTGTTCATCTCTTCTCCTCTCAAATCCATACTTTTCCTGTCCATCATAAAGTGTTTTTCATTGTGATTCCTGTACGAGTATATGTGATTTTACCTGTTGATTTCTCTTGATTTGTGTGTGAAATCTTTTGATGTTATTGTGTTTTTGTTGGTCCTTGGGGTGTGCTCTGGACTGCTGTCCCCTGTCACGACACTGTCCTCTTGACCCTAAAGCTGTCTGACTCCCTCTGCAAGCTACTGTCCCCATGGTTACCTTTCACAGTCACTTTTTTAGCATCTGACTTTGGCATATACATGAAAATAAACCAAGAAACAATGTTAATACTGACCCCACGCACCAATCTCAAAGAGTGAAATAATCTCAAATGTAGTCAAACCTCTCGAGAAGCAAATCTTCGTGCATTTTATTTGAAATCAACTATTTTTGTTGGGTTTTACGGAATTAAAAAGCAAACCTCAAAGCAAAAAAGTAAAATGTATATGCCAAATCACTCCATATGTGTCAGTGGTCGGTCCTGTTGGGTTTAGAGGTGTTGTGGTCTGATGTGAGTTGAGTGGATACAGCTACCCTCTTTTATCCCACAATGCAACCTTGCATGAATGTATCCTTAAGTACTTTCTTTCCTGGATGTAAAACAATCACACATTGCATCTACTAAGTGAGATAACACAGTGCTGTTAAAACCGAACTAAGGCAAAGTAGTTCTAAGTCTTATTTGAGAATTATGTATCTGTTCGCAAGAGTATGCAGCCATGTTAATGTCTATGTGAGGCTGTACTGTAATGTCAGCATGTTAAAATGTACAACATGTTAACTTGCTGATGTTTAGCAGATATGTCTACAGTGGTCGCCATCTTGGTTTAGTAATTAGCTAATTCTCACTTGACACAAAGAACAGCTAATGTTCAGAAAGTCAGAGGATCACAACAAAATAATTTATCCTGAGGGCATCATGAATGTCTGTAAAAGATGTTAATGGGAACCCACACCAACGTGTCAGTACAAACCAAAGTGGTGGACAGACCAAAGAACGTAGCAAAGCTGCTATTTTATCAATGCCTCAAAATAAAATGTAATCAGTCATTGCAAAACTTAGAGAAACTTTGCCTTTTTCTTTTCTTGGTTTGTCTTACTAATGGAAACATTTCACCCAAAGCTTCAGCTATTGTCTGCATGCCTTCTTTTGTGATGTTACTCTTTCATCTGTCCTATTTATTTCTCTTGTTCAAATCCTTTTCCTGTTCTTTTTTAACGTACAACTCATGAAGCCATTGATTTATGCTTTCAAAATAGATAGATGAGATTTCAGTGTAAATCTATACTGGCTTCATTTTGTATAATAATAACTTTTGTGACCGCAGCGTTAAGAATGAAGGCTGTGGTGCTGAAAAAAAACTTGCCTGGCTTAACCGCTACCCTACAAAAGTAATGCAGATGGCATGATCAAATCTAAATCCTGGTTATCCACATGGTTATGTCACCAACAAGAGGCTGGTCTGTAACGTTGCATGCTGACGATGCCCAGCCTAGCATGGCAGAGACTGACTGCATATAGCAGCATGGCCAGAGAATGAGGGAGATCCAGAGAAATACAGGGTGCAGATATGTGGACTGTTTTAACCTTCTAACTGCTGAACTGTATTGAGAGAAACAACATGACTTGCATCTTGGCGAGCAGTTCTTTGGCTTGTGCTCCTTACCTTGACGGCTGTATCTATCTTCACAGGGGGACGGCATACATCAGATCAGAGAAGCGCTGAAGATCTTAGCCGAGAGGGTTTTAATCCTTGAAACTATGATCGGTATTCATGGTGAGTAGGAGGCCTGAGGCAGGGTCAGCTTTAGGCAGGGGTCAAAAGGTGGGGATGGGCAAAGTCTCCCAGCGCACCTCACTGCTGGGACAGGGAGTGGGAACAGTTGCGAGCAGCCCCAGGACTCAGGCTGGTGTTTCCACCCCCCTCACACAGTTCCCCTGTCACTGCTTTCTGATAGGACATTAGCTTGCAGATGTTCCATGACTTGCAGGCAGACCTTGAGCTTCTGGCTCGCAGGGTGACGCTGCTGGAGGCGATCATCTGGCCAGGTAACGCTGAGACATCCTCACCCAGAGCTCTGCCGGCCCTCACTCACCTCTTTGATGAGATATAGAGAGTCTTGATCGAGTGTTAGAGGCATACAATGACCACTTGTTGCTGAATGTTGATCTAGTCACTGAACAGCATGTGTTATTATCATGTATGAACTATTTTGATTGTAGAAGATATTACAGATATTCATTTAAAGGCCCTGAAAACTTGTTTACTCAATCACACAAGGTATTCCACAGAAGATGTTTCTGTATTTTTCTGTGCTCTTTTAGCTCGTTGATCTCACAAACTTCAGAGCACAAATGTAACATTTCGCAACATTTAAATCAAAATCAGATTACGGTTCTCTTGTAATTAGCCAATGTCAATCAAATGTGATCAAACCAACCCCAACAGTCCATCTGTTTTTTTACCTTAGCGGCTTTTGTGTCTATTTTGTAACTTTGATTGGTGTTATCAGGTCGTATATGTTATTGAGAATAATTAAGATTGGAAATCAAGTTTTCAGGGGCTTTAATCGTTTGTATAATAATGGTGCTATGTAGGTTAATGTGAATCTAAGTCTAGGCAGTAGAGCTGCAATGATCTGTCAAAATAACTTCGTAATCAGATGAATAATTTTGATAATTGATTGTTCAAGTCATTTATTCAGCAACACTTTGTGTTTTTGGCTTTTAAACTGTGAAGATGTTCCGCTCTTTATCCTCAGACATTGAATATCTTTCAGATGTGTGCATGTTGACAGAATTGTTCATTAGAAAACACTCATTGCAGCCCTGCTAGCCAGATCCGCCTCCTTAACAAAAAGAAATCAAGCAGAAAAAGGAACCGATAAATCTCTTAACCATTCTGACTATTTCGTTTAATGAAAAATTCTGATATAAAAAAACTGGGCCACTGTTGTCCAATCAAAATGAGATCCCACGCATGACAGCTCCAGGTTAACAGCTGCATCAGACATGGATTAGGACTACAGATCACATGTCCTCACACACTGATGGACAGCGAGGCCCCGTTCCAACTGCTGTCTTTCTTCAACAGAGCCTGATCTAGGGTCTGGGGACGGACCGTTTGACACAGCCTCCCCTAGTTTCTACAGAGATAAGCGAGCAGGTGCGCTTCCATATCGACTTGCTTCTCCTCTGTCCTCCAACACCAAGGTTCGAGGGAAGTAGCCCCCCCCCCTCCCCCTGAGGATCAAAGGCTGGGTTGACTCCCCCTCCTCTAGGTCTCATCGGCAATCAACAGATGTAGACCTTATCTGATACCCTCTCTGGGCTTTGCTATCAGATTAAGGATGGGGGACACCTCAGGGAAACTCCACTGATATCCCACAATGCCCTCCTCCATCGGGAACCTGAGAACTAGTTTGACCCGTCCGCATCGCCATAACCAAACATTTATCTTCACGTAACACACCCAGCAGCTCCTTCTGTGTCTCATCTTGAAATAACGTTTTTAATGGTTATAAAAAGGAAAATCACAATCTTCTGGACAATAAGGGTCATTTAGTTATCAATGAAAGGAGGAATCAGATGTGAGAAACTGGATTTGCGTATTTTTTTTGCTTCACAATGTAACTGCAATCTGAAGAGATTCCACTATTTAAGTATATTGAGCATGTACAGTTTGCAGGACACAAGTACACAAACAAACCTCTTCTTATAGTATTCATTTTGTTATACTTCTCATATTGTTATGTAGTGCACTAAAACGATGAAGTCATCTCTACTCTAAGATATGTGTTGCCAACAGTGATTTGTAGCTTTCTGGTGTGAGTGTTCCCCCCCCCCCCTCCCCTCCTTCAAGTACACACGGCTAAAACGATTAAATAAACAATAGTTTATTAACATCCTTCAAGGCTAAAAAGCAACACAATTTGGTTTTGGTGGCATATCAACAGAGACATTATTATTTTTTCTGGAACATGTTGATATAAAAATAACTATAAAAAGACTTGCTCTCCATTTCCAGATACTTTACACACACACAGGAAATAACAAAACTGTTAATGGAACTTGAACATATTTTGTACCACTGTTGACAGCTTAAACTGTCCTGATGAAAAACTTGATAATTGTTTTTTCATCTTATATCAAACTTATTGTGAAACTATTTAAAATGATCAATTATTTTGTATGCTGTTGTGTAACCATTTCATATTTCACTCTACATTTATTTTCTTGAAAATGTGTTACTGTGTTAAGATAATCCTGTCTAAGTGATTGATGTAATAAAATAATGTTAATTTTTTTGTATAACCATGTCATCTCTTTTAATGTGTTGCAACATTACTTATTGAGATTATAGCATAAATAAATGACATCCACTCAATCAACGTACATTTAATTTGCATTCAGAAATCGTCTTCAAAGCAGCTGTTTGCATCTTCACATGATTGGATTCAGTTGTGGAAAAAAAAAAACTCCTCCCCAATGTTATCCTTAAGTCAGTAATACAAGTACCCCACAGGGAAAAAAAGGTTAAAGCTCAGCAAAACCCAAGCATACTGTTCGTCTAGTTTAGTGTACAAGAGCAACATGATTAAGTGCTCTGCTTCCCTTTTGATACCATCACGGCCTGTTCTCCGACGCTGTCATCAATGAGCAGGGAAATGGCGCCATCCAGCTGTTTGGAGGCTGCTAACGCCACTACAGCTTTCTCTGTGGGGAAGCCCATCTTCTCCAGCTGCTGGAGTCTGAGAGAAAAAACAACATTGGTGTTTTAATGAAGGATTACTTAAAATCACATAGATAAAACCACTGGGAAATAATGTAAGGCATTTAAGAGGAAATATTTTCATATTCACCAAAAATGCAGATTGGCATTTATTAAGATAATATGGACCTTTATCGATCCCCATAGGGAAAGTCAGGTGTCTTAGTGGAAACGCGCCATAAATAATGGCGCGTTTCCACTACAGCGCGCAGCCCGGTTTAAGAGGGCTGTGACGTCAGCGGCCCGTCTTTGGTTGCGTTTCCACTTGGCCTAGTACCGGCCGGCGGGTCCTAATTCACAGTTTTTCTGGCCTCATAAAATCGTGGGTCCAGGGCCAGAGACAACGAGGCTGAGTATGCTAAACTAGAGAGAGCGTCGCTGGCAAGGGGGATACAACTACAACAAGATGGACATATTTGACCGTGATTTAATTGTAATACACGTTTCAAAATGATGCCGAAGTAACAACATACTGATACCGGTTAGTAAAAACCATGAATTAATGCTTTGTCAAGTCTGCAGACAGACGGCAGGGGAAAAACCTTTTAAAATGCTTGTTTTCTAAATGGAGATTGGCTAAGCTAACGCAGTATATGCTCCGACCGTCCACACTCACAACAACGGCCTATACAGACATAAATAAAGCAGCGACTGTATTCACCATGACACAGGCAGTCTGTGGTTTGTACTTGTTTAACTTTTGTCTAGTTTCTGAACATATATGAGGAGCTGTGAGCTCTGAGTGCTAACAGCTAACGGCTGTGTTGTTTTTCTGGGGTCCTCTGAAGATCACGTCACGGCTCCGCCTACACTGCGTTACTATAGATACTGCCCCAGTTCCTAAACTGTAATGGAAATGCGCCCTAAAGTGAGCCAGTCCTAACGAGGCCCGGCCATACCGAGCGGGGCCGAGCGAGGCCGTGTAGTGGAAACGCGCCAGCAACAGCAATAAGAGTTCTAATATGATAAAAGGATAATATGTACGAAAAATATGTTAAAAAAGTGGCAGTATAAATTCAAATTAAGGGTGTTTTACATATATACAGATATGTTTAGTTATGGGAATGTTAAATATATATGCATGTCATTTGGAAGTGCGTGTCCAACTATGTACAGTGTGAAAGATATGACTTCATTACTAACCGCAGAGAGGAAACTGAGGATTTGGGCACTTCCACTTTAGCATCAGGGTTGTCGGGAGCATCCTGTAATGAGGCCAGTATTCCTGCCCTTAGCATCTGATCCTCCAGCACGTCGGCCTCGGACAGCGCAGCAGACTCGTTCAGTATCCAGGCCGGCACTGGATCCATCCATGGGTGGGGGTTAAAACCAGATGGATCCCTCACAGGGGGAGCAGCCGCCTGATCTGCAGGCATCATGTGAGAATGTGATCTAGAGCTGTGACAACAGATAAAGACAAATTGATTAAATTTGCCCCTGCATGCATGTGGCGAGGGGGAATATTTCCTGAGACTTTTGATGTTAACTATCACACCTCTGTGAGGTAGTGTAGGTGGGCAATCTCAACCGGGATGAAGCACGGATATACGCCCAATCAGGAATTAAATCCAAGAGTCTGGCCTCCTCCAGCTCCTGTAGCATCCCGATGAAGGACTGGTGATCTGAGAGGTCCATTAAGTATTGTAAAAAAACTAATTTTGTTCTTTATATTGAAATATGCTTCATAATAGATCTGGTGGGGGACTGTGCACTTCAGCTCAAAACACAAATAACACTCCTTTACAATGGGTAATGGAAGGTTATTTTTTTCCATCACACGGCCTGAAACAAAGCATACACAAAAGGGTGACCATGAATAAAGTCATTGTTTTTAAATAAATGTTAAATAAATGATTATGGGCTGGAGGTGTTCGTAATTACTGTGGCTGATTAGACCTATGCTCAGACAGAAGTTGGGCAGAGCTATGCTAGGAATAACATGATGTCAATTTCTATGTAATAATAAGAATGAAAAAAGTGTAAATAGCATGTAGCCTCCATGTTCAACAAAACTAACAGGGAATGGAGACTGGTTGCATTAAACCACAGCCTGTGCATTCCCCAATCAGTCTTTTGTTGAGGCTAATGAAAAACCGCATATATACTATGTTACTTGGTAGGATATATTTTGGTACAAGCATAGATGACTTTACAAACAGGAAAGGATACAGTTGTGTCCGATTAATATTGTGCAGAAGTGCAGCAGGGCGGGGGTCCCGGGCAGCAGCAGGACACCCATCAGTAGAAGAAGCCAGGGGAGCAGCCAGACTGGCAGGATCCTGAGCAGCCTCCTCTGAGCCACCTGACGACACTGCGCTGTGAACAGGGCCAGCTGGATGGCAGAGTGACCGCAGATTCGACTTGCCTCACTCCCCCCGACACAGAGGACCAGAGTATAGAGAAGAGGTGATATGATGGATGTGAGGGTGGAGAGGGACAGGAAGGCGAAGGTTCCCCAGCGGCGCTCCTGACACGGTCCCACCACCAGCAGGAAGGCAACGCTGACCAGCAGAGAGGGCAGGTCATCGTGACTGAGAGCATACAGGAACACATCTAGGGAGTAGAGAGAGGAGTTAGGAGAGAAACCTGCTTTCTATGCTTTGATTTGGCTTTGATTTAAATAACTATTATTTTCAAAGCTCTTGATCTGCCGATTCTTTTCTAATTGCTAAAAGTGTACATGTTTTGTTTTATAATAATTGCCAGAAGTGGAATAAAAAATAAAAACATTAATCGTTTCAGCTCTAATTTAAACATTGAATTACTATATATTTCAAAGATTCAAAGGCTTTATTGTCATATAGCTCCAGTGTAGTTATAGCAACCAAAATCTTAACTCCCAAGCTCCTCCAACAATGCAACATATTATATATCGGACATAAGACAATAAAACACTTATAATAAGAAACAGAGTAGAAAATAGTAGAATACAATAGTGCAGATTATGTTGCAAGACCATGCAGATGAAGTAAACGATATGGATTTGCATAAACCATGCAAGCAGATAAACACAGTTACCTCTGACTCTTGGGAACTCTCCACCTGGACCCAGGCTGAGGCTGGCCTGGATCCCCCCGGCATACATCAGCAGCAGGAGAGCTGTCAGGAGACAAGTTCCCAGACAGAATCCTCCACGATCTGACCCAAACCAAAACCATACTGACAACAAACGACGAGGCATTCCTTCAGCTGTAGTTTGTCCACTTACTTGTCCTTATGTGGCATCATTCTGATAATCTGACACTGTCTGTGCTCATAACAAGAACAGCTAAAAAGTGACAAGGGTAAGCTTCAGACATAAAAGCCCATTTATGTATCACGAAAGTGGTAGCATGAGACTACATTCAGTCCCTTGTTTATCTTGTCAAACCATCTCTGCCACTCACTGTATTCGTACAAAGAGTCTACGAGTGTAACTGCTATTATAAAATAACCATGTCCTCAATAATAAATTAGTAATAAATGTATTTAAATAAGAAAATATAAGTATTTATAGAGCTCAACGTATTTCCATTTCCTCACTAGCTCACGTCTTCTTGTTCTTTGTGTTTACTGGCAGTTGGCAAACGACAGTAAATGCACATTACTGCCACCTACGGTAAGGAATTATGTAGAAAATATATATATATATATATATATTCTTCCTCAAAAACAAAAACAATTCTCGAAAAGTATTCGTGTTTCGTGTAGTGCAAAAAAAGATATTGAAATGTATTGATTATGATGTAAATATTTTGATTCCATAATCTGTTGTGGAAATGTATAGATAGCCTACCATACAACCTATGATAAATCCCAAATTAGGCAAGATGTTTGTACATTTATCTTAGATATTATGCATTATTTTATTTTTTTAATTTAAACGTTTATTTGGCAGGGACAATGCACAATAATGAACACTTAAAACATTCAAATGTATCAAGCGTAACAGTGCCAGATTTAGCTTTAAGATAATTTCCATCCGCAGTCCCTCACATAAAACATTTAAGAAAATTACATTTTACAAACATAGCAAAAACTAAATACATGATATGCAAAAAGAGCAAGAGCAGCATACACAAGTATTTATGACATGGTAATACAATATAGCAGCAACGACATATAAAGTGCAAGAGAAGATACAAGAGATACATAAAGTGCAAGAGGAGATTCCCCTGTATTAAAGTGCATTTAGCGGTGATTGCACGTCTGTTTGTTTCTCAACCATTCTTTGATTTCGAACTTCTTCTGGAAAATGTTTATTTGTATGATTGTATTGATAACTGTATTGGACTTTTGGTTAGACAAAACAGCTATTTGAAGATGTCACTTAGCTTCTGGTGCTTTTTAGGTATTATCAGAGGTGGGAGAAGTACTCAGATCTGGTACTTTAATCAAAGTAGAAGTACCATGGTGTGGGAATACTGTAGGAAAATGTGAAAAGTCCTGCAAAATGTTACTCAAGTAAAATTAGAAAAGTGTTAGAATCTAAATATACTACAAGTTTTTTTTTTCAACTTTATTTACCAATTGTGCATCAGAAAAAGGTACATCTCAACAGTGTTCATAAATGAATTCAAACTCAGAGAAGGAAAAAAAAACATTGTTGGGATTTTTTCCTTTCGCAACATTTAATAGATGTTCTATATTTTCATGTCATTAAAAAAAACAATAAATACTGGAGAGGGTTTCGTTAAAGTGTTGAGGTTTATTCAGGGTCGTCTGCTCACGCTCATACATCTCGCGAGAGTTCGTGGTTCCTGCGAAGAGAAGAACGTTTCTCCAGCAGCCCACCAGCAGCAGCCAGAGTTTTCCTGTCGTCTTGAACCAAGCACACTAAAATGGCGTCGGCTCCGGGTGAGTTACTAATTGTGATCTTTTATACAGCTTTTTGATGAATTGCGGTTATTAAACTGAACTAATCGTGAGGTTCTGCGTATTTAAAACCAGAATGTGCCGGCATTAATTTTCTGTTCGGCTTATATCAGTTGAAATATCGTCTGGGTTTAGCTAGCTGCACAAGGCCTAGTCATTTTAGCTTGCGGTATTTTCTATTTGTTGTTTCTGCACTCTTAGCTTGATGATTAACATCAGATTACTACATTTATCGAATAGATTTTCAATGCATATGCCGAGTACTCCTCGTTGCAATATTTAGCTTTTACGCATCGTCCTTTTATTGAATGGTTTAACCGAGTTTCATCTGCGTAAATGAATGGCGACCTAGCAACCGGTCAGTGTCGCGTGCTGCTAGCATTAGCTTCTCTCTGCTCGCGCGCAATTAACGTTTTGTTTATAGGCTAAGCTAACCAACATGTATCTGTTTCTTTAGCAGATTACAGCACCTACAGCCAGACCACTGCACAGCAGGGGTAAGTTTTCAATGAACGCTTTAATGTGAATGAATGTGATATTTTTTAAATGCGTTTGTGTGTGCCGTGATAAGTAGCTAAGCACAATTTGAGGACTTTGCTACTATGTACTTCTACCCCACTACAATTGGTACAAATGATTTACTTTTACTCCACTACATTTATGTTATACCTTTTTTTAGTTACTTTACAGATTTGGACTAATATGACATATAATCAACACTTAATCCACAAGCTACACTGAAGCGTACAAAGTCATTAAAAATAAGTGCTGTATCTTTTACCAGGTGTGATAAACACATTATTGCATCAATATGTATAATAGAAACAAGTGGGTGTATTGCTGCAAATATAATATTAAAAAAAAATGAGTGCTCATGACCAGGTGAATGGGATTCTATAACCGTGTTTGTGTTGTATAGGTATGCCTCTTATGCTGCCCAGCCCTCTCAGAGCTATGGACAGTCTGCTCAGGTGAGATTCAACAACAGCAGAGCCTGTTTTTTTCTTTGTACTGATTTACTGTGATGGCAATGTTTCATTTTAGATTATTTAAAGACAGAATGTATTGATTTTAATTTAATATACAAATATTAATCATAGCGCAACTCATGCTTGCAACATTTGGGAATTAAATATTACATTATTATTTTTTAATTCTTTAACATTTAATACTATTGTTTTTCAGCAGAGCTATGGTCAACAGGGTTATGGATCCTATGCCCAACCTGCGGCTGCTGATGCCAGCTACACCCAGACAACCCCTGCTGCTGCAGGCTACACTCAGCAACAGCAGACACAGTATGGGTCTTCATATGCCCAGCCTGCTTCAGGTCAGTTGTTAAAATAGGAGCATTTGACTAATTTTACCTCAAGCATATTAAGGAATGTTTTTTTTTTATATATAAATACTAGAATAATTTCTAGTTGACAAATACCCTAACTCATGGTTTGAACATTTGATAGTGTTTATACTATCCAGATTAATGGCAATATTTGTAAAATTGATTACACCGCCCGCTCAGTTGTGGTCAAAATTCCCCTTAGTTACTCCAGGGAGAATGTCCCTGTAATTGGTAATTGTAAGTCGCTTTGGATAAAAGCGTCAGCTTAATGTAATGTAATTAAATGCAAGTCCTTTACATTTTAATTTGCCTTTTGGTTTGATACAGATGGCCTTCAGTCTGGCTGCCCAAATCAGTTTTTACAAACTTGTTACATTTCAGTTGACTAACCCTTTTATGTATGTAATGCCTTCAAACATGCAATGAAATAACCTTTGGTTTTTACTATTTCTATCCCCACAGCTGGGTATCCTGCTGCCCAGTCTACCACGCACACATACTCCCAGTCAACCCAGGGTTATGGAGCCAGTGGTTATGACAGTACTCCAGCGGCTGCTGCCCCAGCTGCCTCCCAGTCTTACGGCTCTCAGCCAGGGTATACTGCCCAGTCTGCCTACCCTGGTTATGGCCAGCAGGCTGCTCCCACTGCACCACAGAGGTATGTCCCCCTCAGCTGGGAACTAATTTAAAAAGCAAATTCCACACGAACATACTCATGATTTCAATGAATGCTCTGTCTTTGTTTGTCTATCAGTTACAATGCTAGCAGCCAGCCTGCCAGTTACAACCAAAGTAGCTACTCCACGCCCGCAGCATATGGGCAGCAGCAGGCAGGCTACCAGGCCCAGCAGGCGAGCTACGGCCAGCAGCAGGCAGGCTACCAGCAGCAGACCCCGCAGCAGCAAGCTCCTCCTGCTTACCCTCCCCAGGCTTCGGGTTCCTACGGCCAGCCCCCGACCAACCAGTACAGCCAGCAAGGTGGACCTCCCAGTTATAACCAGTCTAACCATTACAGTAAGCTCTGCTTTGGCTGTGCTTGTCAAATCTTCAGTTCAGTTTAATGTCCTTGTGAACACGGTTTGATGCATTCCTGCTCCTTTTTTTTTTGTAGATAACTACAGGCAGGAGGGCCAGAGTGGAGGTTCTAGTTACTCTGGCTCTGAGTCTTCGAGGTACCCAGGGTCAGGGGAACGGGGCCCAAGCAGGGATGGCTTTGATCGAGGTGGAATGATGCATCGTGGCCGTGGAGGCATGGGTCGTGGAGGCATGGGGTAAGTGTCTCTCCTTAGCACCTAACTTCACATTATATTTTGTTTCTACAGGTCCAGTGGCCAATTAGGGCAGGGCTGAGACAATGCCTGTCCCATTTGATTTAATCTAGTATAATTTGCACATCATTTTATCCTCTTATTAAAAAAAAAAAAAAAAAAAAGGGCAATCATGATTTACCAGAAGTCATTTCTGAGGTCAAATATTGGAATTGTAGTTTATGCCAAGATAAGATAGTACTTTATTGATCCCAATTTGGGACATTTTTGTGTACATGTAATTGTAACTGCCCACTCGGTATCTCTCAGCCCTGTCTCTATAACTAATTCAAAGGTAAGAAAAAGGTTGGTCTTTTATTTCAATCTAGTTTAAACATGTGAAACCTGTGCATAAACATTTAGTTTGAGCAGCGTATATCATAGTCATTAGATTATGATCCAATAAAGTTTTTAGGATAACTTAAAAGTCGCATATTTGATTATTGGTCAGGCAATGTGATAGAACTATATACAAAACATTTATTCTTATTCACACACTATCAATATATATTCTAATGGGTTTCCTTTTACGAACAAATTAAACACGGTCTCACTATCAGCTCCCTTTAAACCAGTTTCACACGAGGGTGCGTTCTACCCTAAAGACTGACACACTCACAGATGCTACAAGAAGAATGCAAGGTTGTTCCTGGAAAAGGCATTGCTCATGGTACCAACCCCCCCACCCCAAATATATCTTTAAAGATATAGGTACTCCCGCCACCCCCAATGACTGTGACTGCAATGCCGTTGCATAACATTTAGTTTAAGGAGTTACAAATAGACATGGGCCTCATGCAGTATGTTCGGTTGCATTTAAAAGTGCTATTTGGGTGAATATGCCTCCTGCCTAAGGTTTTTCCTTTTTCATTTACAAATACATTTGCTGGTGTTGTACGCTTATGGTTGGGTTTTGCAAGGCTGGCAATAAGCATTTCACCTCAATTGACTGGGTCGATAAAGGAATACAGAGAGAGATAATGCAGTCATAGATTGCGCCCTACGAAGAGAAAATTAAGAAAACGTTTT